ATTTCTTGCCATTCCCTTTTGGCTTGTGGTATTTCTGTTGAGAAATCAGCTGCTAGCCTAATTGGGGCTACCTTGTATGTTACTTCCTGTTTCCTCCTTGCTGCCCTTAAGATTCTCTCTTTTTCTTGGAATTTTGTCATTTTAAGTTTGATGTATCTTGGAGTGGGCCTCTTTGGGCTCCTTTTGCTTGGAACCCTCTGTGCTTCCTGGACTTTTTTGGCTTTTTCTGTCATCAAATTAGGGAAGTTTTCCATCATCACTTTTTCAAACAGATTTTCTACCCCGTGTTCCTCTTCTGCTCCTTTTAGTATCCCTATTATATGGATATTACTTCATTTTATGTTGTCCTGAAGTTCCCTTAACTCCTCTTCATTATTTTTGAGTGCTTTTTCCTTTTTGTGCTGTTTTTGGGAGTTTTTTTCTACCTTGTCCTCTAGCTTGATGATTCGATCCTCTGCTTCATTGATCCTGCTTCTGATTCCTTTTACTGTGTTGTACAATTCAGAAATTTTATTCTGCATTTTCTTTTGGCCCTTGTCGATTGTTCTTTGTTTTTATGCTGGTATAATCGCAGTAAGTTCTTTGTAGCTTCCCTGTAGTTGCTGGTAATTCTCACTGATCTCTGATCTTCCTTATAACCATTGTTTTGAACTCAGTATCTGATAGTTGACTTGCCTCTATTTCATTTAGCATTCTTTCTGAGGCTTTCTTCTTTCCTTTCAATTGGGGAAAAATTTCCTTTCAATGGAGCTAAAAATTGCTTCTTTGTCTTCCCATTATTTGTGAGACTCTTCTTGTTTGCCTCTGCTTCTTAAGTTGATCTGTTTGATTTCTTCAGTTTGTGGTGTGAACTTGTATGGTAGGAGACCTGTGAGATTCAGTCATGCAGTCTCCTTGATCTCCTGAACTTGATGCTTTTGGGATGCCCTTTATGCCATTTATGTTGGTTCTCTGGATGTAATTGTGTTTTGATTATTGTTGTGTTGTTCTTTGGTGTTTTCTTCCCTCTAGCTGGTTGACTGAAGGTCACTCTGCCCACCATGTATGCTGCTGTGCAGGTGCTGCTAGAACAAAACCACAAAGCCCATGGCATAAGCCCACATCTGCAAAAATACCTCCCCCCTCGATCACACTATCAACAGCAATGAACAAGTATTAATAAAGGTGTAAAGAGACTATTATTAAAAAAGAGAGAAACAAACTGTAGTATAATATATAGTGACTTCATATGTGCAAATTTGCTGGACAAGAAATGAGTGTTAAAAAGCTTTGCAAGAAAAAAAATACCGCTACTCATGTAGAAGATCACAGTGGATTTCATCTCTGTAGCCTCTAGTATTTTTCACTGTTTTTTCTTTCTTGATCCGTGTCTGGTGATGTCAGATGTTGACCCCATCTGATCTTAGGCAGTCTGCTCTGAGACTGCCAGGGATCTACTGTCTGTGGACATCTCCTTCATTTGTTAATCTAGTCACTCTGCACTCAGCAGTGAGGCTTAAGCCCCATAGGGTGGGGCAGAATACCTCCTGGTAAGATAAACAACCCAACTTAAAAATGGGCAAAGCATCTGAACAGACACTTCTCTGTATGGAGGACATACAGAGGGCTTAGAGACATATGAAAGGATACTCAGCATCATTAGCCATCAGAGAGATGCAAATTAAAACCGCAATGAGATTCTACTTCACACCAGACAGAATAGCTGTCTTAACCAAATCATCAAACAACAAGGGTTGGTGACATTGTGGAGAATAGGGAACCCTAGTAATATTGGTGGGAATTCCAGCCACTGTGGAATGGAATTTCCTCAGAAAACTAAAAATGGAGCTGCCTTTTGACCTGGCAATTCCACTGCTGGGACTATACCTTAAGAATCCTGAAACACCAACTCAAAAGAACCTAAAAAGAACCTATGCACCCCAATGTTCGTAGTAGCACAATTTACAATGGTCATGTTTTGGAAGCAACCTAAGTGTCCATCAGTAAATGCATGGATCCGAAAACTATGGTACATTTACACAATGGAATACTACATAGTAGAAAGAAAGGAGCTCCCATCCTTTACGACAGAATGGACAGATCTGGTGAGCACTATGCTAAGTGAAATAAGCCAGGTGGTGAAAGACAAATACCATATGATCTCATCTATAAGTGGAACCTAATTAACAAAACAAACAAGCAAGCCATATGTAACTAGAGATATTGAAATAAAGAACAAACTGACAGTAACCAGAGGGGAGGTATGAGGGGATAGTGGGGGGAAAAGGGTGTAGAGTCATCAAGGAAGAGTAATAGAGGACACATGGACAAAGCTAAAGGAGGATAGGATCGAGGGTGGGAGGTAGGGATGGTTGGGGGAAAATTGCTCAACTCTACCTGAGCAATAATTTTTGAAAAAGCAAGAGGAATATGAAAAAAAGTAATAAAAAATAAGAAAAGAGAATTTGGACTTTAAGTACTACTTGCGGCCCTTTGGAAGGTGTTTTTTAGAAAGGAATTGTTTGATTTGATTTTCAGTGTCACATTTTCTTACTGACTGCAGTGTGGAGAGTGGATTATAGAGGTAAAGAGTTGATGCAGTGAGCCTGGGCAGCCAGCATGGTTGCTGCCTGGGTGAGGATTTGTAGTGATCTATACCAGGCAAGGCTCTGAAGGGTGAGAAGAGGTCGAGAGCTGGGACGTTTTTGAGGTGGAACTAACACCCTGGAGATGATGCTGTGAAGGACTGAGAAGAAGCAAGGATGATGTTTAAGTTTTGCCTTGCACTGCTAGGTGGATGTTGGTCCCTGAGGGCAGATCAGAATATGAGGGGAGAAAACAAAACTTTCCTTTGGGAATGTTTAATTGGAGAAGTCTTTTAGAACTTCATTTGGAGAAATCCAGCTGGAGGCAGGCTGTGAGCTTGAGGGGGAAGGAGGTGTAGAAGGGGTATGTCAGGGCTATAGGTAGAAATCTGGAGTCCTCAGCAGAGGGATAAAATTTTTCTCTTGAGCCCTGGCTGGTATAGCTCAGTGGATAGAGCACAGGCTGCGAACCAAAGGGTTGCAGGTTCGACTCCCAGTCAGGGCACATGCCTGGTTTTCAGGCCAGGTCCCGTGGGGGCCACGTGAGAATCAACCATATGTGATGTTTCTGTCCCTCTCTTTCTCCTTCCCTTCCCCTCTCTCTAAAAATAAGTAAATAAAAACTTAAAATTTTTTTTTCTCTTGATAGAAGGATTTGAAGGAGGGTTAGGCTTTTTTTCCTCCCTGTGGCCTTACACGTTGTGGTCATTTCCTATCATTGTATGTTATAGGCTATTTCTGTCATCCAGTTCATTCTAGAAAATACTGAACTAAATACTGTGCTGGATGAAGAGGACATAATGGCACATGAGATAGACTGGGAGTTCTATGAAGGTAGGGAGTATTTCTAACAGACAGACCATTTAATCAAAGTTAATTCAGGAATTCCATCAGAAATTAAGTAAAGTAAAATATGTTCTGTGATAGGGAAAGAAGACAGCGATGGGACACATAGCAGAGGCACTAACCTAGTCTTGGGGTGGGCTGGGGAAATTTCAGTTGACCAGTGAGTGGTGAATAGGAGCTGGTCAGGTGAGGTGCTTTAGAGGAAACAGGTAGCAGTGGGCAGGATAGCAGCTTATATTGGAGTGAAAATGGACAGAACCTTATTGGAACTGGCACATTGTACAGACGATACTCAAGGACTGAATAGCAAAATTGTACCTTGGCAAGATTGCACAACTCATAAAAATGATAATATTCATATGATTAGTGATACTAGTTTCATTGTTACCTTCTTCCACTTAGGTTAACTTGTTAGTCTAGGAACTTTCATTGCTCTATGTTCAGTTTTATTTTAGGACAGGAAATAGAATGTGAAATTGGCAGCTTACATGACTTAAAAAACACCTTATGTGCATTATTTCAAAGAACCAGGGCAAATTTTTGCATGAAGGGTTCTATACAGTCATGAGAGGAAAACAATTCTTTAGATGCACCAGCAATAGTGTTAACTATATAGAATTTAAGCATAGTAATGGGTGTGTTCACATATATTCCCAGTTTTAGGACCCCAAAAGTAATTGATGCCATTCTATTGTAGATTGAATAGCAACACATTTTTCCCCATTGTGTAATTTTAAGGAAGCTGTTTTTCATTTTCCTAAGGTTATTAGTATAATATCCAAAGAGATAACACCTTGTCAGGACCCTGTTGTAAATGGCACAAACAACCTTGTTTGCTAAGGGAAACATGCAAAGGTGTGTTGACAGTGAATAAGTTCTCTGATGGGAGTTGTGAGGGATGATTGGGCCTCTGTTAGAAGTGGCTGTGTTGCTGGCTCTGCCCCATCTAGAGTTATTGCTGGGCTAGGTTCCCTGTACAACTGGTGCAGCAGGGAGAAACACTACTCACAGCACCTCTAGGAACTTGTGGAGGGCTTCACTACATCCAAACAGGAATGGGACAGGTCACCTAAAAGATGGAAGGAAGGTGTTGACCAGTGGCCTAGACGGAAATGGGTGGGTGTGGTGGGGAGCTCACCTGCTAGGTTTCTCTTGCTGGTTTTATGTTGGTAGAGGGAGGGCACAGACTGGGCCATGACTGTACCAGTCAGGTTGTTTTTCAGATGTGCACATCTATCCCTCTAATGGCCTATGTCAAAAGCTATGAATACTTTGCCCTCCGCTAACAGGAAGTTATCTTTTCCTTCCCTAGTCTCTCAGTTCTGACCTTCTGGCTGGTCTGTAAATGCTGTACCCACATGGCTCTGATCTCCTTGACTCCAGTCTCTTGCAGGGGTCAGCTTTGGGGGAGGGTACTCTAAGCCCATTCAGAGCTCCCTTAATAGGGAATAAATGGATGGAAATACTATTTTTTAAAATTTTTTCTTATGAAGGGATAAAGCTAGTTTTTACTTTCTTTAATTTCTGAAAAGTTGTGAATTCTCATGACTGCATAAGGTTATTGTCATAAATGAAAACTTTTTCTTTCAGATAATGTGGATGCAAGTGAACTTAAGCAGTTTTTTGAGACCAACTATTCTCAGATATATTTCATCTTCTATGAAAATTTTATAACACTGGAAAATAGTTTAAAATTAAAAGGTAAGCATTTCTGCAATTTTTTTGACATACATTTTTTTCAAATGTTCAGATTTTCCTGTACCTCAAACTCAGACTTCCCAAAGCTGCACTCATCCTCTTACCTTCCAAACCTGGCTTCCCTAACCTTAACCCAGGGTTTCCCCACTGCTGTAATGGCAGCTTATGAACCAGACTCAACATCCTGCATGCATCTTTGATTTCTCCCTCTTACATCCATGAAGTGTCCTGTGGGGCACTGAGGTATATGTTCTGGCTGGGCAGTAAAAATACAGGGACTGGAACTTGGGGGAGAGGTGCAGTCATGCTGTTTTCAAGGAATAATGTATATGCAGAGAAAGAGTGGCAGTCAGGGATTTGGGGTAATTCCTTCTTTTATTGGGCAAAGAGGAAAGATAAAGGAGTAGTGGGTGAGGGGAGGAAAGTGTTTGGTCGCAGATGCCCAGAGAAGAATTTCAAAGAATGAAAGATCAGCAGTGCCTGTTGATGCAAAAAGGTGAGTAGCAACAGGACTAGGAAATGATAGTGCACAGAGGAGGTTGTCATTGACTAGTGAAAGAAAAGCTCTAGCTGAGTAGTGCAGTCAGAATCTGGACAGAGAGAAATGAAGTAACTGTGTGGTGAGACCATGAAGGCTACATGTGAGAATACTGCTTTTGAAAGTGCAATGATGAAGACAGAGGATTCTATCCCAAGGGGTAGCTTGGCCATGGGAAGGTTTCATAGGATGCATTGCTTGTTTTGAGGCTGAGGAAAGGAAGATAACTGATGGTGGAAGGTAATGAGGGAAGTGAGTTGAGACTGGGTCAGGGAATTTGAGGTGAGGCAATGTGGTGGTTTCTGACATATAGCAGATGGCTCAGTCTTACAGAATGCTCCAGGCCTCTAGTAGGTCATCATACATAGGCATGTGCCTACAATGCCAACAAGTGTTTGTTTGTTTGTTTGTTTTTTAATGAATTGCTCTGTTTTTTCCCTTGTGATGTATAAATTGATATAAATCTTGAACTTAAAATTCTTTTTTTTCCAAACCAGTAGATATTTCAAATACGAATTCATTTAATTATTTTGCTTTCTAGCTTTGCTGCAGAATTCACTTTCCTTTTATAGGTGTGTGGAGAATAGTGTGATATTACATGCAATCAAAATAGCAAAAAAAATTTAAAGCCCCATATCTTAAAAAGACAACAACAACCTAAAAATCCCATTTTTAAAGGGTCCTCCCTCCCTTACTCCTCCTTTTTCTTCCTCTGTATTTTTAGAAAAATATAGCTGTTTAAGATTGTATCAGTTAGTTTGTGCTGCATAGCAAACTATCCCAAAACTGAGTGCAGTAAAACAATAGCTAGTCATTTAGCTAATATTTTCTGGGTCTGTTGTGTGGTTCTTCTGTTTTGAGCCAGCTCATGCCTCTGATATTAGCTGGTGGTAGATGGCCTCATTCACATGTCTTACGGTTATTAGTAAGCTGTTGACCATGGTGCCTTAGTTCTCTTCCATGTGGCCCCTTTTCTCCAGCTAATAGGCTATCTTGGGCTCCTTCAGATGGTGATCTTAGGGTTCCAAACTGAGGAAGGTTTTTTTCAACTCTATCTGGCATTGGCCAGAGCAAGTCACATGGTATCTCAGATTCAAGGGATGGAGAAATAGATATCTTCTGATTGAAAGGAAAAAACTCTCTCCATTTTTACAATCTATTGCAAAGAATCATTACAAAGAACTAATAAAAACAGGGTGAGATTTTGAAGTTTCTTGATTTTGGTACAATCGTGTTTTGATAGGAATACAGGGAAGAAAGTATACTAAAACAAAAGAATCAAGGGAAATGTTTATTAGGAATAATGAACTCATCTTAGTATAACTTCAGCCTTTCAGTTATTCAGGCCAGATCCTGAGTTATTGACTTTGATTTGAAATACATCCAGAATCATTGGCCTCTTCTTATTGCCTATGCTGGTAATGCTGGAGCTCCCATTATTCTTACCTGGATCATTGCGCTCTCCTTTCCTTCTTTAATCCCTACCAAAGCCTCTTCAAAAGAGCAGCTGGAGTGATTCTTAAAACATGTGAGTCAAATTATGACTCCCAGCTCTCCAGACCCTCAGATTGCTTCCCATTCCTTAAGTCATTACAATGGCTTCAGACCCTACCTGCCTTCTTTTACTCCATCCACCTACTACAATTCTCCCTCTTTACTCCAGACACAAGGGCCTTCTTGCAGTTACCTTCCTTCCTGACCATGCCAAACCTGCTCAGCCATAGGACTTTGCACTGTTCAGTCATTCCACCTGGAAAACATTTTCCCCAAATTTCCATATGGTTTATTTTCTTACCCCCAGCTTTTCATGTGGTTTGCTCCTTAGCCTCTTTTATATCTTTGCACACATGCACCTTATTAGTGTTACCTGACTTTACTAGTCAAAATTGCATACCACCCTTTTGGGCATTCCTCATCTGCCTTTCCTTTTGGTTTTCTCACTTATTTTTTTGAATGCCTCCTCCTGCCAGAATGCAAGCCTCCTCAGGGTTGTCGTGTTTTATTCACTTCTGTATTCTCAGTTCCTGGAATAATCCCTGATATAGAGACATTCTTTGATATTTGTTCAATGAATGAATGATATCTACTTCATAGAGCTGTGAGGATTCAGTTAGATCAGGCATCCACAACTTACAGCTTGCTGCTTGTTTTTGTAAATCAAGATTTATTGGACACAGCCATACCCATTCATTTATGCATTGTCTATGGCTGCCTTTGCACTGTAACTGCAGAGTCTAGTGGTTTAAGAGAGGCCTGAAAAGCCTAAAATATTTATTATCTGGACCTTTACAGAGGAATTTGGCTTATTTTCTAAGTTAGATGATGTATGCTAAGCATTAGCACAGTGCTTGGTACATAGACTGGACAATACATGGTAACTGCTGCTTTATGTATTACAATTTTTATTATTATTCTTATCAAAAAAGCAGTGTGCAATTGCTTAAAGATATATGTGACTTTTTATGGTTATTACTGCTCTATGCCTCTTCATATCACAAAATTAGAACTCTTTCTTCTTTTTTACTGTGCACTGTATCATAATTTGACCTCTTAAGTAACTAATTGAGAAATGAATAAATTACCTGTCATGGGTTGTTAACAACTTGGAAAACATGGAAGCTGTGTTTAAACAATTAGCGAGTAGCAGCTCTGCTACATGTGGAGCCTAGGTTGTTAGTCCATCTGCATTCCTAATGTGGGTTCCACACTACCTCCCAGTATTATTTCAATAAATAAATGTATATTGAGGTTTTTAATGTTTTAAGATACTTTTTAACATAAGTTTTTAATATCCTAAAATTTATACATTGTGTGATAACTATCTTTTTTTTAATATTCCAGGGAATAATAAGTCACAAAGGGAGGAGCTCGACTCCATCCTCTTTCTTTTTGAGGTAAGTTTTTATTAATTCATTGAGCTTTTAAGATTCTTGTTGAGAATTTGGTATTTTATATTTTTGAATTTACTTGAAGACAAATAAAAATGGACCCTCCCTTCCTTCCTTCCTTCCTTTCTTCCTTCCTTCCATTTTTACTAATAATACTGCAAAAAAAGGGTTCTTGTGATTTTTTTTGTAGATATGTGGGAGAACTTTTTCTGTGTGAGTATCTAGACATGAAATTGTTGGATGTAAACATATGCATATTTTAAATGTTGATAATGCCAAATTGCTCTTCAAAAAGGTCATATAAAGTTATATGTAAACTTATCTGGAAGTCTTATGTAAATTTCACTGACATGATTTGTCTTTTTTATATATGCAAACTGACATGAAAAAACTTATTGTTTTTAATATATATTTTTCTTACTACTGGTAAGGTTGCAACCTTTGTATGTATCCATGTTTCCATGTGTATTGATTATATATTCTCTTCAAAGTTGAAATGACATTTGGGTTTTATTTTTGATCTATTAAGCTTAAAGTCTTTTTTTTTTTGTCCAAATGCATCAGACAAATGGCCAGATAACTGGTACCTTGCGAGCTAGACGAGAACCAAATTATGGGCTCTGAAAGTTAATTGTTGGTTATCTAGAAATTATTCAGGGTTTCAAGGCACAGGCAGATGTATAGGCTCCTCTAAATATCTTGTTAACTGCAGATGAGAGATGGCTGGTTATAAATAGGGATAATGAAGAGGCCCAACATCTCCAACAAGAGCATCTCAATAGGACCCCCAACCCAGCTGGGGCAATTCTCATGACAGAGCCTAACTGGAACCCAAATGGTGGTGACCTAACCTTCCTGAAACACAACAGAAAGTGTATACTGGAAGTGTATAAAGGGCTTTAGAAGGGGGAGCCCAAACAAAAAAGTCTGAATATGATACAAGCCCTTCAGAAAAAGCCAAATGAGAATCCTTCTGAATTTTTAGAGAGGATCCATCAGGGCTATAGAAAGTACACTGATGCTGTCCCAGAGGCACCAGAAAATATGTGGATGGTGAACATGACATTTACTGGGCAAAGTGCCCCAGATATTAGAAGGAAATTCCAGAAGTTAGGTAGGACATTGGGAATGAATCCCTCTCAGCTGATAGACATAGTCTTTAAAGTTTACAATGACCAGGAAGCAAGGAACATAAAGCAGGTCATGGTGTTCTTAGAAACAGTATGGTGAGACCAGAAGAAGAGGCAGGACCTCAAAGGTAGGAGGAAAGACCCCATAGGTGCCAATCAATGTGTGTATTGTAGGGAGAAGGGCCATTGGAGAAGGGAATGCCTGAACTAAAAAAAAGAAAAATACAATAGATTAGGTTTGAATTTTCTAGAACTTTGTGTATATGAAAGCATATAGTATGTATTTTCTTTTCTTTTTTTTTTTAAGATTTTATTTATTTATTTTTAGGGAGGGAAGGGAGGGAGATAGAGAGAGAGAGAGAGAAACATCAATGTGTGGTTGCTGGGAGTTATGGCCTGCAACACAGGAATGTACCCTGGCTGGGAATCGAACCTGGGACACTTTGGTTCCCAGTCCGCGCTCAATCCACTGAGCTACACCAGCCAGGAGTATGTATTTTCTTATGCCTGGCTTATTTGGTTAGAAAAATATTTTTGAGATTTATTCATGTCCTTGTATCAGTTGTACAAATATGAGACAAGCTAGTAAGCCAGAACAAGTGGAATAGGAAAACTAAGTAAATTGTTAATTGACCAAGCAATTCACAGCCATCTAGTAAATTGCAAAATCCTATCTTTCCTAAACCAAGGACACTTAAAAGAATACGGTTTATACTTTTCCCCAAACAGATGGTAATAGCTTAAATCACCCTACTCAGGGAAACAGATGACTGAAATACAACTAGTGCTATTTGTACTAACCACACTCAAAGACAGATAAAAGACCTGGAAGACTCAAGGCCCTGAACAGCAGCTAGCCAAAACAATGGACAGGTCCCCATGATGTCCTGTTGACAACGCATTCTTCCCTAAAGCTAACAGGAATCAAGCCCTGGATCCACTACACACGGGTAAAACTGGTACCACCTGACAACACAGACCCTGCTGCTGTGTTTGATGCTAAAAGGGAAAGCTGGACCTGTACTCCTACATATTTGAAATTCCTCTTTCAGACAAGAACAGTGAACCCTAATACAGGGTGACATTATTTCTTTTACTTTATTCATGTGCTTGTAAGCTAGAGACTTTTAGTTGCCAGATACTTTATTTGAATGTGGTCCTTCCCAGTAGGGAAAAGAACAAGGATTGAAAGTGAGTTATGGCTAAATCTAAATGAGTAAAGGTATATATAGGAGGTTGTGAAAGTTTTAAACTTGGAGGAAAGGAAATCTTACTCTTGGATGTGGTTATTTTTTGCTTGCTTGGTTTCTTTGTTCGTTTTTTGTTTTATGGGGACATGGCTTGAAATTTACTGTTTTGGATACATCAGGAATCCTCTGTCTCTTCTGTTTGGCCTTTGGGATCTAGGAGAGGTCATCTGTGAAATGGTTGGACAGAATGCTTTTGTCATTTGGGACCAAGGAAGAGTCATTTGGCGCTGGTGAAATCTGGCTTGGGGCAAGAGAGACAGCATGTCTATGATGTGAGACTGGGTAGTGAGAGGGTATGTCTCTGTAAAGAGACCAGTGGATGCCCTGGTAGGCGAGAGAGTGCCTCTACCAGTGAGGCTTTGGGCCATTTGGGGGACCTTGGAAAGGTTGCCCGTGTGACCAGTTAGTGGGGCTGGTGGGAAGTGAGACAAGATTCTAAGGCTAGTTCTAGTTCCCTTTCTTCTTTTGGAACTCTGTCTTTGCTTCGGATTTTGCTTTGTTTCTGTTCCAAAAGGAAATTGAGATTTGTCAGGGAGAATTAAAACTTTACATCAAATGGAAAGTAAACAATGAAAGGTAAAAGGCATAGAAATGAAATTTTGGTGGATATTAGAAGGACAGGGATTTTCCTTCATGCGTTATATTTTCCTCTCTACCTGATCCCTCCAGAATTTGGCATTCTGTAGGAGTGAGTGATGACATAAGGTTTCTTTGCAGTAAATCAATAAAACTAGTTGCCAATGGTGGTTTTGTCAACCAAGATTTTGACTGGAAGGTCATGCCTAAAGGAGGCACACTGGGGCTCTGGTTGTTACCAGAAAGCCTCGAGGAACTGAGATTGACTTTCAAAGAAGCTAGCAAAAGCCCACTGTAGAAATGGCCTGGTTCCATGTCTGATCATGTGGTTCATGGCAGTCTTTCCAGGGAAGGAATGAAGGTTGCTTTCCTGAAAGATGCAAAGGAGAAACTTTAAAATACTACAGGAACCTCAAGGACTTGAGGGAAGCAGGTACTAAAGGCAGTGCTGGATAGCAGGTATGTGGCTTGGCTTCTGTGCCCTGAAGGGTAGACTAAGGGTCAGTCTAAAGGTTCCTTGTGTGAGGTCCAGCAAAGCAGACTTAAAGATCCTGTGTGATCAATTGTTTCTTCTTGTGTTTATACAAATGAACAGTCAAAAATTAAAACTGGACTTAATGCAGTCCTTTTGAGGATATCAAGAGTGATCTTAAGGAGAAAAATCGTATTACAAGGAAAATCACAATACTCAGTGGTGGACATTGGTCTAGTGCAGCTAAGTGTCTTCAAAGTTTTGTTTTCACATGGAAGTTAAGCTGTATTTGTGACATCATCAGAGATGTTCAATTTATGGGCAGGAAGAATTTGTCAGATTGTCACTGTTTAATATCATCCCAGCAAAAGAATGGTGTTAATGCAGCTGAATGTCTTCTCAAAAGGTAGCCTCATGGACTTGAAGACTGGTTTATGGGTTATTGTGTGAATTAACCTGTGTGTTCTTCCTTTTGTTTTTGTAGGGCATATGCCTATGCTCTCATTACCTTGGTGACTATTTACACAGTATAGGCCTCATTTGAGAAGCCCATCTGCATAGCCACCTCCTCAGACTCTACGGCTTGATCGGACTGAGTGGTTGAGTGGTGAAATATGGGGTGGTCTATCAGCTTCGCTTAAAACTGCTTTCCTTTTCTGTTCTAATGGTTTGGACAGAAAGGGCCCAAAAGTGTTAAAGGGGAGAATTCTAGAATATTTCCCCTCACCCTCAGTTAAGTATAGTGGGCAAAAGGGCTCTGGACATGTGTGACATGCTTTACACACCTTCCTCCATGGAAGCCACTCTTTCTTAATTAAAGACATTGTAGAATTGGTCTGTAGCTTTATCCTTTACTGGTTATGGTTCCGATTGTGCCTTCTAACTCTCTTGCCAAATTTGTTATCTCCAGAGTATGACCAAAATGCCAACTTGTCTGGCAATGCTATCCTTCAGATATTTTGCACACCGCTTCCCAGGATTAGTGAACTAACCTGAACTTTGCAAGGTCCTTCTTTCTTGTGTGAAGGCCTCCCTCCACTCCATGCCCCATTTCTGCTAGGGATTTCTGGACCAGAGGATAGGTAGGACTGTGCCCATGGCCAGCAGAAAGTAACTACAGAATGAGACCTTCATCTATTTGCCTTTGTAAGATTGCAAAGGTCCCGAAGTGTTAAAGGGGAGAATTGATACAGAGAGATCTGATCATATCACTGGGGAGGAGTTAGGAGAGGCCATAGGAGGAGGTTGTCTGAGGCAATGGTAAACAGTCTAGGACAGAGTTGGCTAAGTAGCTGAATGCCTCCAGAGTGCATGGAATTAAGGGACAGAAGATTAAAAAAAAGAGAGAGAACAGAGACTGGCTCTCAGGCTCTTCTTCCTCAAGGATGCCTGGATGATCATTTTGCAGCTGCCTGCATTTCCCGACAGACAGTATTTTGGATGGGAAGGAAATTCAGGTACAGCCTAGGATCTGACTGGCTTGGAAGAGGGTGGCTGGATTATTCTTCTTTGGGTATTCTAGAGGGGAGGACTCTGAGGCAAAAGCCTGCCATTCTTTCAAAATTGTGTACTTTTGTA